AAGGGACGTAACATTTCCGTCACACGCTTGAGGAATTCGGCCAATCACAACGTACTGGATAGCTGGCCAATCAGAGCACACCTCGCTTTTCAGACCGATGAGCTTTGTAAAAATCTACACATTTCAGAAAGTCGGGGCATAGAGGAGAAATAATAATGTACAGTATGTGGAAAATAATGTGTTTTTTGAACCTTAAACCGCATAAACACATTTCATTACACCAAATACACAAAATAATGTTCTTTTTTAGCAACGTCATATGACCCCTTTAAAATAGAAAATAGCTATTTTAAATTGTAATAATATTTCACAATATTACTATATTTTTGATCAAATAAATGCAGAGAATTTAAAAAAATCTTAATTATTCCAAACTAGTCTTAGAGAAAAACGGTGTATTTGCTTGAACATACCATAACTTTTTCCTCATGTTCTCCACAGCGAACGTGTGCGACGATGAGTTACTCTTGTGCCAGAACGGGGGGACGTGTGTTCAGAATCAGCGCTGTAGCTGTCCGCCGGACTTTAAGGGTGTTTTGTGCCAACAGTCGCGCTGCGAAGGAGGCAAAAAGTGCAACAGTGCCAGCGCACTCACGCTGAGCCTGGCACTTCTGCTCTGCCCGCTCCTCGCCACCCTGCTGGGCTCCGCCGCCTCCTGAGAGACCCCTGCTTCCCCACCAGCGGGCACCGAGAGGGCCAGATGCTCAGCATCGCCTTCTACAGGGTGCAGAACGCCCTGCAGGACAAGAAGAACGAGAAACAAAGACTCTGGAGGAGCTGGAAATCAATGGAAATCAAAATGTGCACCTCATATACGCTGAGGATGAATAATACCAAAAACACATACACTACACACACAATATCAACAAGAAGTGAGCTTCTTGTGCAATAGCTGCGAAATGTAATACAAACCCCACTTCCTTCACTCTGATTGGTCAATGTAGGGGGCGTGTCCTCACAGTGATCGGAGACTGTACGATGTTTTTAGGAAAGGTCCAGCTTCACGTTTTTTTTTACACTCGCTGCAGTTTTTAACATTCAGATGTATGTAACACGCGCTCACTGTTATTCGCTAAAAAGCAAAGACTATGATATTATTGTGATATTTGTTATATCATGACTATTAAGATTTTAGGCACTGTACTGCTGGTTGTTATAGGAATGTCTGTCGCCACAGTTAGAGATCATTGATATTTACGAAGTATTCGGGACACGAACACGCTATTCAACTCACAAAAGAAGATATCTAATCAAATGGAATTATTATAAACCCACATTATTTGACTATTTTTGGTAGAGAATATTTTTGTTTTGGATCTATATAAGAGGCAAAAGGTTTTATTACACTGTAAACTTTACAGCACACTATAGTACGAGAGTCTATAAGGTAGAGTTTACACTGTCAGGTATTACGGAGGATGAATTTACACACTAAAAGTACCAAGCAAAATTTATTTATTAGATGGCAAACTCTACTGAAATGTATGGGATGGGGTTTATTACACTTTATGGTGAACAGATTTACAAAACTAAAAGAACTGAATGAAATTTTATGACACTGTAAACATTACAGTAAATGTGACTGTTACTTGGCCATGTTTGAGTTGTTTCTGTGTGGATCATTTCTTCAGCACCACATAAAATCACATTTCATAGCAATAACTTTAAAAACACATCATTTAAGCATAATTCCAATTTATTCCAATTTTAAAACTCACTCTTTATGAACCGTAACGTTTAAGAAATAAATATGCTTGTGTTGTAATTTAAAAAATATTACTGTAAAAAGGAATAAAATGGTTTTCTTCACTATAAAAGGGAAGTAAAAACCTAAAATTATTAACAGTAATGGCAAAAAAGAGAAGAGGGTGGAGTAAAGAGCATTAATGTACATGAGGGTGTAACTGAGTTCTTTTTTTTAATACTGGTATGTTTTGATATTGTCCTACAGATTAGAGTAATTTCATCAAACAATATGTAATACTGTTCATGAAATATTGTTCAAACCATATTTCATCAAACAGCTAATAATACCAGAAAATACGCACTGGTGTTTATGCTGTTGTTTTCCTTCCAAGATGATGTCACACTTCCTATTGGATGATGTCATTAAGGAAATGGCTTTGGTTAGTTAAAAGCATTTTTACAAAAGATTAAGATTATAGAAAGTGATATTGGAGAAAAAGTAAAAACTATACTTTATAACAAATTAAATATAATTTTATTTGAAAAAGGGGAAAAAATAATTGTTAGTTTAGCACTTTACAAACTAGTGCAGCACCAAGGACATTAAGAAAAATTGCAACATGCACTTAAACCAACAGGTAAAATGATTTTTAATTTATTATTGCAACTACAAAAGCTAATATGTGACCCTGGACCACAAAACCAGTCATAAGGGTAAATTTTTCGAAATTGAGATTTATACATTATCTGAAACCTGAATAAATAAGCTTTCCATTGAACTAATATGATTTCCATCATTCAAATATACTGTATAATTGATAACAAACAAAACCAATATCTCCAAGAAATTGCATTTTGTTTGTAATAATTTGATTTTAAAAGGAGAAAAAAATTAAATAAGAATATTTCTTAATTAATTGTCAGTTTATCATTTTACAAATTATTAAAGAACGGGCAACAACGAAAATTGCAGCATGCACTTAAACCAGCAAACAAAATGATTTAAAATTCATTTTATTATCATATTGTGACTTCAGAAGCTACCTAATATGATTTCTATCTGTAAAAATGTAGAGTTATTTCCTCCACTATATTAAGACAGCATGGTACGAGTGACCCAATCAAATCTTCTACTGGCTCTTATATAACAGTCATAGAGGAACCCAGAGAGAGTTTTATATTTACTCTGGTCTATGCGTTCACCGGCTTTATGAAATATCTGAAAATGACACCCGAGCCAGTGAGACAACAAACAGAATGCTGCTCCAATAATGCAAAATTACAACAAAAGCAAAATTTGCTGGCCTGGCATCTTTCTGATGAGAGAAAAATGCTGCGTCACGTCACAGCAGCAGAGTGTCCTGCACCTGAGAGGATCAAGCTTTTACCTTAGTCAGCGGGCATTGATTACCTTCCTCAGAATATCAATAGTGCACACAGGGAGGATACGTCAAGATGGGTCTTTATGAGTCCAAAGCTTCATTCTCACCACCTTTAGTTAGAAACATGATTAGAACCATGAAGCGCATTCAAACAGGTCATAATAGGTCACCGTGGGAATGTGAGTGGCTAAATTACCTTATTTAACACATAACGATTTTAAACAATAGCAAATAAATAATAGCATACACCATTTAAAATAAACTTATTGCAAATGTAGGTAAATGTAAAAGTACCATCTCTCTATCATGGGTCCACCACAAAACCTCCTAACAACACAAATAAAAACTGCATTTCACAGGATAATAAGATTGAACCAAACTGAACTGCTGAAATTTGAGTCGTAAAGATTTTTCTGTGTAAATCTCTAAAGGATTTTACTGAGGTTTTTGGCCACACATTGTGTGGACCTGCACAGTTCTGTTTTAGGGAGTATAATATACAGTTGCTTGGCCCTAAAACTGGGGCAAGGCAAACTGGTGTAAACCTAGAAACATTGCGACCCCTTGTGGTGCAAAAGACACTGCACATTTTACTACTACTACCCTCAATTTAAAAACGGGTTTCTTCCCTCTCCTCAAATTGTCTTTATTGTTACACACAGGGTTCAAATCTGTGCAGGTGAGACACATTAGTTATGAAAATGTAAAACATAAACTGTCTACAGACATTAAAAGGAGAAAAAATCACATAAAAACACCCAAATCTGGGTGCAGTTTTTGACTCTGAGCTTAACAGTATGAGTAGTTATATGGCATGAATGCCAAAGTCATGTGGTCCAACCAACAAACAGAATTATGAAGAAAATAAAAGTAAAATATGAAGATAAGCATGAGGTACTTACCATAAAGGAGATGGTGCAATGGTTCCCTATGCTGTCTCTTAAATATCACTGACCATTCATACCTTTTTATTCATGTTTCTCCTTGGAGAGTGTGCATTTAAAGCCCACTCTCCATAAAGCAATGTATAAATCATACTGTTGTTATAGAAAATATAATTTAAAATGATATTTAATTGGGAAAGAGAATAAGCAGATATGTGTTATGTGAATGTGTTTTTCTATTTAAAACCGTTTTTAATTATATAATTTTAATTATAAAATCAGTATAACAAGTTAAACTGAAAAAATTAACACAAATTCTGCGATTTGTTTGTTTATTCTACTAGTATACAATATTCTTAGTAAGAGCTGATGATCATGTTATCCAGCATCTGAAAGCGACACAAAAAAGTAATAAATATTTATGTTTATTTTACATCTTTAATTTATCTAAAAAATCTTTACATTTTTAATATCTATCTAACCTATCTAAACTATCCTATCTACCTTATATGCCTATCTTATCTTATCTTATGTCTATCTTATCCTATATGTCTCTCTTATCTTATATGTCTATCCTATCTAATCTTATCTTATGTCTATCTTATCTTATCATCTGATATTTAAACCAAATCAAAAATCCTTCAAAATCATCCAAATGTATTTACCATAAACCAGTTGTGGAGACTGAGTTTCTCCAGTTCAATCCGCTGCTTTGGGTCAAACTGCAGACAGCGACAAATAATATCGCAGCATTCTATGCAGAAAGAAGAGAGAGATGTCTGATTATTACATCAAATTTACATTGAAATTCTATTTTGTATGCTTCAGATTTATAATTGTCTTTTGCTGAAGTGAAGATCTTACCTTTCGACAAACCATCTTTGGCCCAGGTGTTACTGTTAATCTTTTCCAGGACTTGTATTTTTGGGAAATCTCCACACAGCAATGCAAACAAGAGGATCCCCAGAGACCACAATGTCGCTGGTTCCCCGTGGTACTGGCCGGTCATCAGATATTCAGGAGGGCAGTACTCTCTTGTGCTCTTCACTATCGTGCAAGAAATGATTTGATGCCATTTGATTCACAACAGTGGATCCCATTTCTGTATGCTTCATGAGAGCTTGATTCACTCAAGAGTCCTGTGTGAATGGCCCTCAACTTATCACCAGAGTTTGAGACCCACTTCACAGCTTTGAGGAATCATACATACCAGTAAGGACGAGGAAATCACCACACCCAAAGTCAATTAATTTCACTTTGAGTGTGTCCGGGTTAATAAGAATGTTTTCCATCTTAATATCCCGGTGCAACACTCCACGTCGGCAGCATGTTTGAGCTGCGAATGTTGCCTGGCGCATGATGACCCATGACACATCTTCTTCAATGTTCACCATTTGCCGCAGGAGAAACCAGTTCAGTTCCTCAGAGGGAACGGGCCGCTCTAGGACCAAAATGTAGTGGTCAGACTCCACCCGCCAGTCCAGAAGCTGGATGATTTCCTCTACCCTGGGGCCTTCATTTGCAAGAATTTATTTGTGAGCAGAGTTCACACCATTTCAATGGTACACTAAGAGGGTTTGCAAAGGAGAGAGCGAGAAAAGTATAATAGGACAAAAATGATTAGCTAGATAAATATTGTAAGTAATGCATATTGATACCTGTAGGCCATCATCCAAACAAGTCGCTGCATAAACGGTTCCAAAGCCTCCTTCACCCAGCTGACTGCCAATTACGTAACGGCATTAATTTATGTCTGTTAGAAGATAAATAAGAGATGTAGACACAAAATGTCAATCAGTGACATCACTTACTTTATCTAAAATACTTTTAAGAGACTTTTCTAATTTATATATCAATTAAGATACTACACTGAATAGATGTTCCTTAAAATTCATTTTTCACACTCAATAACTATTCAAGTACATTTTAGTGGTCATTGTAAAATATACAACTTCACCTCATACATAAAAACACATTCAAATGACATTTTATTTAATGCTAAAAAAGTTAATTTCCATGTTAGTCATCAGTTGCCCTTAAACAAAGTGCATATCAAAGTCAGTTTAAAGCATAAACCGCTAAACTGCTAATTTAAGTATGCCTATGTGTTGGATTATGTTAAGTTAGCAAACTCACCAATAATTGTTGACTTATCCTGCAGCTGGCTTGACTGAGGTGGCACAGTGTCCTCTGTCTGACAGACTGTAGCTTGAGGAGCATCAACACTAGAGTAGACATGTCACAGCAAATTGAAGGGACGTCATCACTACAGCTGGACATGGCAGACACTGTAGCTTGGAGGACGTCATCACTACTGTTGGATGTGGCACAGGCTATAGTTTGGAGGACGTCATCAGTACAGCTGGACATGGCACACACTGTAGCTTGGAGGATGTCATCACTACAGCTGGACATGGCACAGGCTATAGCTTGGAGGACGTCATCAGTACAGCTGGACATGACACAGGCTATAGCTTGGAGGACGTCATCAGTACAGCTGGACATGACACAGGCTATAGCTTGGAGGACGTCATCAGTACAGCTGGACATGACACAGGCTATAGCTTGGAGGACGTCATCAGTACAGCTGGACATGACACAGGCTATAGCTTGGAGGACGTCATCAGTACAGCTGGACATGACACAGGCTATAGCTTGGAGGACGTCATCAGTACAGCTGGACATGACACAGGCTATAGCTTGGAGGACGTCATCAGTACAGCTGGACATGACACAGGCTATAGCTTGGAGGACGTCATCAGTACAGCTGGACATGACACAGGCTATAGCTTGGAGGACGTCATCAGTACAGCTGGACATGACACAGGCTATAGCTTGGAGGACGTCATCAGTACAGCTGGACATGACACAGGCTATAGCTTGGAGGACGTCATCAGTACAGCTGGACATGACACAGGCTATAGCTTGGAGGACGTCATCAGTACAGCTGGACATGACACAGGCTATAGCTTGGAGGACGTCATCAGTACAGCTGGACATGACACAGGCTATAGCTTGGAGGACGTCATCAGTACAGCTGGACATGGCAGACACTGTAGCTTGGAGGACGTCATCACTACTGTTGGATGTGGCACACAAAAAAGCTTCAGGGTTGCCATCACTATAGCTGGACGTGGCACAGACTGTAGTTTGGGGGACGACATTAATTAAAACGTGCAATGTGGTGATCACGATAACTTGTATTCTCATTAAAACACCAGATATGACCTTATATTCTTTAATACATGTAAGTGTATATGAAATTAAATCAGTATTAACAAAATACATTTACACTAAAAACAATTGCATAAATAATGTTACACATTGCACAAATAATGTTTTAAAATTATATTTTTGAATATAGAAATATGAAATGTTGGGTAAAAACGAAATTATTCTGTTATATATAAAACTAAAACCTCCAATAGGTGTCGACTTGTCTTAATAAGTAAATAATAGACATTCATTAAACCGATTAGTTCAAACAGCTTGATTCACTCATAAATGAAGTAAACACGTTATGAATGGGTTATTGAATCATTGAAAAACGCCAGATCGTTCAAGACTATGTTGACTGTTCTGTCTTGTTGAACATTTTCGTTGGCGAAACACAGCAAAAAGAGTCAAAATGTACAATGTTGTGTCTATTGACAGTATAAAGAACTTACCGTCTTTTGAACTGTTGTGTAAAAATAATATCACACTTGATATGCTGATATTAGTTAAAACAGTATCCACAATAACACAAAAAAGAAAAACTCCTCCAGGGACAATTAATATCCTGAATTTTGGGGGCTTTTCAGAAGTTATGCCAACGCGAAACTAGACTGCCAGGGCAAAGTTGAGCCGGCTGTATTGAGATGTTTTAATAGTGGTTTACTTTAACAGCAGTGAAAAACAGTGCCAAAGTTTACAGCAAACTTGATCCTTACCTGGTTGTCGCCAATGAGGCAGGAGCTGTTGATGGCGCTCCGCAGGGCGCGAGATTTGCGCGGGTTAACTGTGGCGCTGAGAAAGAGCGGGAGAGGTTCGCGCGGGACGTATATATATATATATTGAATTTTACGTGAATGAAAAAGTTTTTTTTTTTTTTATGCGGCACTCACAGTATAAAGATCCTAAATCATGTAATGTTTGGGAAAATACACGCCAATGAGGCAGGAGCTGTTGATGGCGCTCCGCAGGGCGCGAGATTTGCGCGGGTTAACTGTGGCGCTGAGAAAGAGCGGGAGAGGCTCGCGCGTCCCGTATATATATATATAGAATTTTACGTGAATGAAAAAGTTTTTTTTATTTTTTTATGCGGCACTCACAGTATAAAGGTCCTAAATCATGTAATGTTTGGCAAAATACAGCTTTCACAACTGTTTGTTTTTGTCCACTGAACATTTTTTCAGCAATCGGTATGTTGTTAAACAGCACAATCCATTGAACTCTCAATATTTTAGATAAGGTTACATAAGTTCACTATTTACTCATGTACATGTACTCTCTATTGAGAATCTATAAAAGCACATTTTATTAAAAGCATGATTTATTTTTTTAAATAAATTGATTGGAAGCATGCCACCAATAAAAACAAGGCCAAAATGTGTGTAATGTTTTGCAGGCATCTTGGCTTTTTTTGTCTCAACCAATAAAATCAAATTTTTGGCACCTGAAACTCCTCTACTTCAGATTTTACACAATAACCACTCCCTGTCTATATTACATGGCCAAACAACTGTTCCTTCAGATTAGTAATAATAATAATGCATTTAGCATTTGTCTTTTAATCACATTATTGTTGTCGTCATTTTACAAAAGGAATAAGCCACTTGAGACCATGATAGATTTGAGAAGTCATTTTACCACAATAAAATAAAACCATGGCCTTGAGTGGCTTATTGCAACTATTAAAAATAAATATTAAAAGATTGGGGTGAGGTGTTGATCCCTACGTATCTTAAGGAAAGACTATCAGAAATGACTGGTTAAAAAGACAACAAGCCTTAAGGGTGGTGGTACCATGGTACAGATGGTGACACTGTCGTATGTCAAGATATGCAATGGTACTGATTGATTAATATCCATGTACCACAGTATTCACCCATTTCAAGGTACTTGTATAAATTAATGAGGGGAAAAATAGACTACCATGATATGATTTAGTGGATCACTCACATCACTAACATATGCGGTATATCAAGAATAATGATGGCACACCTGCAAAATCAATTTGTGCAGCGATTCTCATTATAGAAAAAAATATATAAAATCCAAAACGTAAATTAAAAAAAAGGAACTTTTTTTTTAAATTTCCTGTCTACAAAAAGTGCATCTGTACAAAACAAAGTCCTCTTCATACACTTTTGTAAAACTGGTCACACAAAAGATAAAACTCAAGTGAAAAAGCCACAGTAGCGGGTCGACCTCTCAGTCTCCAGGTCTCTGGCTTGTATACTTTAACTGTACAATTTCAAACTTAACTCTCATTCACAACTCAAACACAACATGACATTTTATATTTGAAATTAAAATGTTAAGCAATAACTCTGGTTCTGTTCTTGGCCTTCTTTAACTCCTCCTCCAGAATAATAGTGACTATAATCAAAGTTACCTGAAAAAAAAAAAAAAAAAAAACTATTCTAACAGTCGGCTCAATCAAAAATAATCCAGTATGTCAAAAGTCAGTATAAAACAACCAGTGAAACACAAACGGCACTGCATTCATGCACAACACATTTACACACTGAATCCATCCCTGCAAAAATCTTTAAATCAATGTGACATTCAAATAAGTGACAAACTATACAGCCTCAAACACCAAAAATTTTTTATTTTTGAGCAAGTCCGACTGCTTTAGAAAGTGCAGTTATTGCATTAATATATATTTTTTGGAGACGAGCACAAGGTCCAAAAACCCAAAGCCTGTTGTACGGAACAAAACATCCCTCTTCATGCAAAAAATAGTTCTTTAAATGTTCATTTAGCAGCAAAATACGCTTAGACAGAGATTAGGTAAGCAGTAAGCACTGCCATCAAACTAATTTGTCAAGATAATTGTTAAGCCAATGCCTGAGAAAGAGACGTTTAACGACGACCCTTGTACATAGTGTGTTCTCAAAACATGGAGAAGAGGACATGAAGAAAAATCTCTCCCTGAATGCATTGCTGTGAAGCTTTAATGACATAAAAACAGGGATAATTCATTTATCTCCTGTGTCGTCTTGACGGTGAAGAACCGCGGTGTTTTGAAGAGTATCTGGAAGACTGGCCAGGACTTCTAGAGTCGGCTTCATATGAATTAGATCTGTTTGTTGAGTGGCGGGACTCTGGTAAGCCCCGCCCATCTCTGTCCGGTCTCTGTTCTCTGATTGGCCGGCGCTCTGCAAACCGTGGGTCTGTGGGCCTGTCGCTCATCTGTGGGTTATTAGGGCATTCCAAGGGTATTAGCCGTGGCATAGGTACGTTGCTCATGTCACGTTGAGGGTGGGGCGCAGGGGCGGGGTCTGTTTCCACAGGTGCATCCGTAACAGGTGAGGTCACAGGGCTTGGTTTCCCGACTGGGGGATAAGAGAGACTGCGGGTCGGCGGCTCTCGTTCTTGTTTAAGAATCTGCTGGGCGTCCCTTTCAAAATCGTTTTGCATTGTTTTGATGATAGTTTTACGTATCCAAGCGTCCTCAATCAATGCTCCCCAATCACTTTGTTCCTGCAGAAATGCATCATTAAAACATCATTAAAAGCGCTTAGAAATACACAACAGCACCTCTTGTGGTGGGTCGAGACAAACAAATGTATACGTTACCCTGAGTGTGCGTATATGTCCCAGTATAAAGAGACTAAATCTGGCTCTGGTGATGGTTACATTCATTCTCTGCCGATTTCCAACAAACCTTAAAAAGTAAGAAACAATGCAATATTTGAACCAGAAACTTGAACATTCTAGTTGATTGATATATAGGCTATGTACACTTACCCAATGGAGCCCATTTCACTGCTGGCTCTCACACAAGACACAATGATGCAGTCCATTTCTCTGCCCTGAAAGCCATCGACTGTATCGACTTCAACCCTAAAACACAATTACACGTTATTCAACTGTACAGAACACAAAGTTTACACGCACTACCGGTCAAAAAGGTTTGGAATATTATGATTTTGTAATGTTTTTTTTTTTTCTAAAGAAGTCTATTATGTTCACCAAGGTTGCATTTATTTGATGAAAAATACAGTAAGACAATAATATCGTGAAATAATACTACAATTTAAAAGAACTGTTTTCTATGTGAATAAATTGTAAAATGTAATTTATTCCTGTAATGCAAAGCTGCATTTTCAGCATCACATCATCCTTCAAAATCATTCTAATAGGCTGATTTGCTGCTCATTTATCAATAATAGATCTTATTACTATAAACTTTGCAAAGATAATAAAATGTTAATATTTTGTGTTAATATTAAATTTCATATTTTTGTAAAAACGCTGATGTGACATTGAAGACCAGAGTAATGGTTGCTGACAAATTGCGTGACATGAATAAGTTACAAAAACATATTTAGCAATTTTAGCAAATAGCAATTTTATTTTAAAATTGTAACATTTGGGGGGGAAACTTTATTTATCAAATAAATGCAGACTTCATTTAAAAATTCACAAAAAATTACTCTAAATGTTGACAGGTAGTTATCAGATTATTAAAAAAATTCATGGTTCAAAAATAGAACCATAGATACAAAAGTTCATTTCTAATTATTTCTTGTGGCAATCTGCAATAAAGTTGTTTTTAGAAGTTTCATTTTGATGAAAGATTATGAAAAGCTTAAGTAAAGTTGCACACTGAACACTCACTGAAGTTGCTTGTTGTCGATGCCTGAACCCCTGACGGCATCCAGTATGCGTCGTTTCTGGGCGTTGTAGGGTGTGATGACGCCCACTCGCACTGACTGCTTCTCGCCCAGCAGCTTCAACAGCAGCAAGACCAGCTTAACTTCTTTGTGATGGAAAAATGAACAGACCAGTGTCAGATTATTAAAAAAATTCATGGTTCAAAAATAGAACCATAGATACAAAAGTTAATTTCTGATTTATTTCTTGTGGCAATCTGCAATAAAGTTGTTTTTAGAAGTTTCATTTTGATGAAAGATTATGAAAAGCTTAAGTAAAGTTGCACACTGAACACTCACTGAAGTTGCTTGTTGTCGATGCCTGAACCCCTGACGGCATCCAGTATGCGTCGTTTCTGGGCGTTGTAGGGTGTGATGACGCCCACTCGCACTGACTGCTTCTCGCCCAGCAGCTTCAACAGCAGCAAGACCAGCTTGACTTCTTTGTGATTGGAAAATGAACTGACCAGTGGAGAAACACAATAAATTAACTGTTCAGACACAAGTAGTAAAAAAAGTTAAGTCCACCATCCCACCCACATTCCTCCATTTCTTACTCTCTCTCCTTCTTCTCTATCCCATCCGTCACGTCGAACACTTTGTAGGGCTTGAAGGGCCAGCTGAGGGAACAGCGTTTCTGAGCGGTCTCACTGAGGGACAAAAGGACACAAATCAGAAGTCCATATTTATACTTGATGACCTTGGGTGCAAATTTTACATTTGTTTGTGGCAACCTCCCAATCCAGATGAATTACTAGCAAAAAATACTCTGACAAAATGGCTTATTTAAATATATAAATTTTTCCCGATAAATGGCATTGAGACATTTTTTGCACAACTAAATTGTGCTTTTGTGACTGTTAGAACAAGATTAACACGGAAGTCACAGACAAAACATTAAAAAAAAAAAAAACTCAAGCAGCATTAGCATGAAGCTATTTTCACAGAATGCAGTGTTAAATTTCAAGGCCTAGTCACACCAAGAGAGTATTTGCTTTATCTTTTCAACTAGCCAGTGCTAGTTTAGTATCATTTATATGCAATTTTAGTTTTTGTTAAAATTTAATTCGATTTGATGTTTATAATTTCAATTTTCATTTTTGTTATTTTTTATTTGAGATTTAATTTTTATATCAATTTTTTCCCCATTTCAGTTTTAATTTAAATTATTTTAGAATTAAACTAAATGAAAAGAAAAGTTCCCATGGAAACTAGCCAATTTATTTTATTTCAAGATACAAGTTTTTTTTTGCACAACTAAATTGTGCTTTTGTGACTGTTAGAACAAGATTAACACGGAAGTCACAGACAAAACATTAAAAAAAAAAAAAACTCAAGCAGCATTAGCATGAAGCTATTTTCACAGAATGCAGTGTTAAATTTCAAGGCCTAGTCACACCAAGAGAGTATTTGCTTTATCTTTTCAACTAGCCAGTGCTAGTTTAGTATGATTTATATGCAATTTTAGTTTTTGTTAATTTAATTCGATTTGATGTTTATAATTTCAATTTTCATTTTTGTTATTTTTTATTTGAGATTTAATTTTTATATAAATTTTTTCCCCATTTCAGTTTTAATTTAAATTATTTTAGAATTAAACTAAATGAAAAGAAAAGTTCCCATGGAAACTAGCCAATTTATTTTATTTCAAGATACAAGTTTTTTTTTTTTTTATAGTTTACGATAATTCTGCTGCAAAACAAGATAAAATACCAGAAAAGGACACTTCTATTATTGCCATATATACCATCAACTGAATATTCGTATAAATCTCACCATCACTGGGTTCTGCCAACTACTTTAAAGGGTTGCATAACAATATCACAGTTGGATTGTGACTGAAACTGCATCAAAAGTGCCAGAGATGCCCAGCAAGTCTGCAAAAGCACACTTCACCTTTCATAAAGCACATGAATAATTGAAGCGCTTTTTCGCATGGCTCGGTGAATGCACCTTTCATCTGCGATATATGTTGCATTTTCATTTTATTCTCGGTATGAATAGACCTTCACAGCAAAGTGGGAGTCAATCAGTGTCAGTGGAACATGTTTCTTGAGATCTGCAGACCATGGTTTAGTTTGCAGTTAGCAGCTCACTATGTTGTTGAGCACTCACCACAAGCACGGTCCTCTCAGTGACCTGAGGAGTCTTAATTCAGACTCAGTCATAGTCGTCTGCTCCTGATCATACTGCCTGCACTGCCCCTGCCTACACATCATAAACATGAGGAGTCTGATTGCAGAACACCGTCTTCTCTCTCCCTCTCTACTCATGCCACAAGTGGAAACGTTCCAAACAAACAAGGAGCTGGGTGCGTACCAGTCATCCTTAAGAGCGCTGTTGTAGATGTACTTGGAGGGGAATTCACAGATGTCCGGGTGCATGCGGTACTGCACGCTGAGCAGGAGGATTGGAGAGAGTTGCGGGTTTGACTGATAAAGACTTTTGCATAACCGTGCCATAAGAGACTGGTCGTAGCCAAACTCCTTTGCTTTCTGTTAAAACACACACAAAATAAATTCAAATCATGCACAAAACGAATGATACATTTTTTGTTCTGTTACTTATATTTAACCCTTATGCTGTTCTGAAAACCCCTTTAACTAATTTGGTGTGTAGCGTGTCAAAATGACTGGCCTACAAAAAAAATAAAAAATTAAAAGGGGCTTATAAATCCCTCATTATGCTATATTATTACCAAATACTAGATGAAAACTTTTCATCAACTTAATACAAAGCCTGTGCACAGATAGATCATAGGTCTCAATTATCTAAGCTTATGCACATTAGTTTTTGAGTGAACATTAAAAAAAAAATTTAAAAAAAAAAAGTGTTATTGGATAATTTTTGCAATGTTCACTCAAAAACAGAGGTGTATAAGCTCAGATCAATGAGGCCTACGACCAATCAGTTCCAAAAAGAAATACAAAACCTGTGCTAATTGAAAGAAAACAAGTGTTACTTATATTTAACCCTTATGCTGTTCTGAAAACCCCTTTAACTAATTTGGTGTGTAGCGTGTCAAAATGACTGGCCTACAAAAAAAATAAAAAATTAAAAGGGGCTTATAAATCCTTCATTATGCTATATTACCAAATACTAGATGAAAACTTTTCATCAATTTAATACAAAGCCTGTGCACAGATAGATCATAGGTCTCAATTATCTAAGCTTATGCACATTAGTTTTTGAGTGAACATTAAAAAAAAAATTTAAAAAAAAAAAGTGTTATTGGATAATTTTTGCAATGTTCACTCAAAAACAGAGGTGTATAAGCTCAGATCAATGAGGCCTACGACCAATCAGTTCCAAAAAGAAATACAAAACCTGTGCTAATTGAAAGAAAACAAGCAAATAAAAAGATTGAATCCATTATTTGACAAAAAATAAATAAATAATAATAATAATACATTTGTAGGCTGGTCATTTGACCAGGAATCCTTAAATGTATAACTACACTGCAACCTTAAAATAGTGTAACAAAAAAACAATTTTTTTTTAGGAATTTGTTATACCATGTGCGAGTATAACAATAGTAATTTTGTCCATTAACTAGCATTTTCAGGGGGGAAAAAAGTAAAACATTAAATGACCAAGACACATGAGGGTTAATGCCATAATTTGCAACACAAATCTAAAAAGACAACAGAAAATCCTAACCATTTATGTGTTTAGATTTGCATGCTTGTAATACAAATACTCTAGGACTAATATGGTGGGTTACTACCTGAGAGACAACTGTTGGTGGAAGCTGGTTGGGATCACCGACAAGGATTACAGCAGCACTTCGGTACAGCATGGGGATCAGAGTCTCAGTTTCTTTAGCCTGACTAGCCTACAAAAGTGCAGAGACAAAGAAAGCGGCTTTGAAATATAGTTGTTCGGAGTATTAGTGCGTTTATAATAATGATAATATAAACATTAAGTAGTTTTCTTTCATCGTGTTGTCTTTTGCACTAGCAGTAATAAGAGATTAAATTCATCGATAAATGATGATAAGTGCAATTGTAATTGTATTACTTTTGTATTCAACCAAATAAAAACAAATTTCACGGAATGACAAACTAGAAGAGATTTTGGTACCTCATCAATGATGACGCAGCTAAATGGTTCATGTCCGAGACGACGGAAGGCATTCTCGAGGACAATACTTCCACTGGTGCTGAGCGTGCAGCAGATCACATGAGCGTTTTGCAGCACAAGAGCTTGACTCTCCTGTCGCCTGCTGCGACACTAAGAAAGAGACAAGAGGTACGTTTGTTTGTGGGAGTATTATAAGTATTGTTAGTTTACTATGGTCATAGTAAACTATGGAACTCACTGGCACTAAGGACAATAACCTCACTCTCTGTATTTAAATCACAACTCAAAACCTACTTGTTTACCCAATACTATCAGTCATAACATGTTCTTTAGACACTCTCCTCATCCTATACTACCAGCTATAATTCTCGAGTATTTTCGTTCAGTGTATTTTTTGTTGCATTTACTATTCTTTGTTTGTTACTTATTGACACTATCCTTTTTCTGTTATTACTTATACTATGTTATGTATCTCTGTTTCCAGTACATAATTGTACCATGATATGCAACTGCAATCATGTCTATCCCCGGACTGGGCAAATGTCCACTGTCCACTTAATTTGATTAATTGATTGTGAAATGACTGTTTATGATTATGTGAATCGACTGTCTATCGTGTTACTGCTTTTGTACAGTGTCCTTGAGCTTGGGAAAGGCACTATATAAATGAACATATTATTATTGTGAAACCTGAATGTGAACAAATGTGACTGTTTACCTCTTTAATCTGCCGACTCAGTCCTTCTCTCTCTTTCAGAAGCTGCATCTTCTGCTCCATCAACGTCTTGAACTGTCAACCAACACATGAAGTTAATTCGACACAGCATTACAACAAAACTAAATGTGATATCTATATTCTGTCTTTTAGAAACTTGTGTGGAAGATGCATTACCTCAAAAGAATCCTTATTGGTTTTTGCACATCGCTGGGAGAGATTTTCAACAATTTGTTCCAGTTGCTCCTTCCGCCTGTGTATGTCAGCTTCTGCAGTTTGCTGAGCTCGCTCTACACACAAACACCTTATACATTAACACCACATGCACATACATTAACTCGTGAATTGTAAATGCATGAATTTCTCTCTCACGTGCTCTAGCTTTAGTCTGGTGGTCGAGGCTGAAAGGTTTTAGTGACTTCGAGATGGTCCTTTCACTTCCCAATCGTACCAGGTTTATGTCACCGCAGTTACCTGTACACAAAAGTGTTGCGAGACATGCTTTAATGTGACAGTATATGGCATGCATGCTTTTTTTAGTTGTCAATGTGTACCTTGAGGTGCATTGATGTTTCGGCATTTCTCTTTAAAGATCAAAATGACTTTCTTCATCAGACTGTCGATGGCAGCGTTAGAGGGAGCACAGAGAAGAACTCGTGTCCGTCGAGACTTGGAGTGAAGGTTCCCCGAAGGAGCAGCACTGTTAGTATCCTGACCAGATAACCACACACAAAACACACTCAGCTGCAGTTGCAGATTAAGGTGTCCTTGAGAGCATGCACAGTAGGCAGGAATAAAGATACATTCAGACTAAAAAAAAAAAACAAATACCGAAGATAATAGTTTGTACAACAGGCCACCAATTGCTTTACTCTTCCCGGTTCCTGGAGGACCATGGATAAGGAGAAATTTTGGGGTCTTCTGTGTTCTGTTTATCATGGCAAGACCGCAAGCTATTGCTCTTGCTTGGTCCCTGTTGAACTCCTGGAATGCGAAGGAAGGAAGGAAGGGCAAGAGAAAGATCAAGCAAAAGAGTGAAGGAAAAAAAGGGAAAGAGAGTACAGGAAAGAAAGGGGCAAAATAATAACGTGGGATTAAAATCAGGTTCACTTATTGGACTGACACATTCATCCCACAAAAGGTCCTCTAGCTCAAACATGAACAAGAATAGTTGTCTAGGACTGTATTTTGTCCCAAAACATATACTACAAGTAGGTGAATTTGGAAAATGCACTGCATATTTGGTTTGCACCCCTTATCTGAAAAGCCCAGTTACGTTTCCTGGAACTCTCTGCTCAAGTAGTAATGATTTGATTCAGGTGTATTAAAAAAAAGAAGGAGACATACAAAATGTGCAATGCTGTAAGTCCCTAGGACCAGGATTAGGAACCACTGCTTCAGATAAACCCAAACTCACTGGTGAATCCAGGTCCGGTGGGCTATCCAGAGTGTGCGTGAAATAAGACACATGTGGAGCAAGAAGAGGACGCAACATTGGTCCATTCCGCAGCAAACACAGTGCACGGAACTCCCGGAATATGCTGATCAATGATCCAATAACTTCACAGAGCACAGGTTGGGAATTCCCCGAAGATATATTACTACGTGTCTGAATCGTCAAGTTTAGAATTGGCCTGGAACCTGAGGATGGACAGAGTAATGAGACGGTGGACATAAACGTACACAATTCTTATTAATGACAGCACAACAAGCACAACCGGACCTCTGTTGGAAACACTGGACCGAGACACATAGCCAAAATGAGGATGTGGTTCATGGAAATTAGGTTCATCGTGGGCATATGACCCAGTGTTGTCAGGCAACCAAAGTAGCACAAGGTCATCTTCTTTTGGGTACAGTTGTTTTATATCAGTTTCCTGAGAAATGTTTGCTACAAAAAAAAAGAAAAGTAAAACTTTATGAAATGGTTTATGTTTGAAAGGATACTCCCAACTGTAACAGCTAAAGATTTTAACTGTATCAGAATTCACTTTACTGAACATCAGAAGGTAAACTGCCAAACATGGCTGGACTTACCTGTGAAGCTGGCACTAGCTGTGCGATTGCTGTATTCTATACCCTGGACTGTTAGGTTAAGCTTGACTCTGCCCTCTTTGAGCCATTCACTCGCCATCTGTATAAATTGTAATTGGTTAACATTAACACTGGTACTAAATGTCCAATTAATAATAGAAGCAAGACCAAAACAAATTAAAGGGATAGTTCACCCAAAAATGAAAATTCTGTCATTAATTACTCACCCTCATGTCGTTCCAAACCTGCAAGACATTCGTTTATCTTCGGAGCACAAATTAAGATATTTTTGATGAAATTCTAGAGCTTTCTGACTCTGCATAGACAGCAACGCAACGGACATATTCAAGGCCCAGAAAGGTCGTAAGAACATCTTTAAAATAGTCCATATGACATCAGTGGTTCAACATTAATTTTATGAAGCTACGAGAATACTTTGTGCACAAAGAAAAAAATAACTTCATTCAACAATTTCTTCTCTTCCGTGTCAGTCTTCAATAGCTGCTTTTCCACTGTCGGGCCAGTGCGATCCAGTGCTTTAAAAGGGCCGGGTGGGGCTAATAGCCTCGGACTTGTAGCACCGAGCTCAAAATCACGATGCGTTTCCACCGTCGGGCCAGAAGCTCCGCTGCGCTTCACTAAAACACACCCTTTACACGCCTCTCAGGAACAACATCACGCAACCCCATCATGTCACCAACAAATAGTAGCTATAAGAAAACTAATAAGAAATAAGTCACTGGAACTAGCGCGATCACAAAACGAACATGATAAAAGCGGCCGTTTGTTTGCATGCTTTGTTAAAGATTTAAATCCAAAAGCATCGATGTTTTACGATAATAAGTGATACATTGATCATATAATGAATTAATTTATCAGGATTGAAAATTAGTCACACAGAAATAAAACGGTATGAACCGTTATTTCACAAAAGAAAGAGGACACATAGCCTACTTATTCAGTCGAGTCTGTTTCTGTTTATTTGTAGTCAAAGTATACATCATATTTTATACATCATATATATTTTTTCCATCAAAAATACGACCTGAGTAGCAGAGGGATCTCCCAAACAAAAAGCATCATTATATATGACATAAGCAGAGCTAAAGTCTCAAGACGAGACTTATGACAGATAAAATGTTATAAATAAATACACGATTGTGATAGAGAATGAGAAGCTGACGTTTGATTTCTTCAAGTGGTCGTATTTACCATGTTTACTATGGTAACGTTAAGGCTAGCATGCATAGTCCTTTGCATCGCTTATATTTCTGCCTTGTATGGTGATCATAATCCACGTCAGATCTCAAACAGAAGTTATTTTAAACACTCGCTGCTGTCTGAAAGTGAGTTTTGAGCTAAAATTATTTGACAAGTCTTTAATGCTGATGTTATAGCTGTTAACTTTATGAAATGATCCGCGGCGCTGAGTCGAGTCTGTTTCTGTTTATTTGTAGTCACAGTTATATACATCACATTTAGAAAGAATGATAATTTCTATATTTTTATAAAAGCTTCCGAACAAAAACCATTATTATATTTTTATGACATACGCAGAGCTAAACTCTGGAGACGAGATTTATGACAGATTAAATATGTTACTAAGAAAATACACGATTGTGATAGAGAATAAAAAGCTGACGTCTGATTTCTTCAAGCGGTCGTATTTACCATGTTTAACGTTAATGGCTAGCATGCATAGCCTTTTGCATCGCTTATAAATATTTCTGCCTTGTATGGTGATCATAATCCACATCGAATCTCAAACATAAGTTATTTCAAACACTCGCTGCTGTCTGAAAGTGAGTTTTGAACTAAAATTATTTGAAAATCTGTAATGCTGATGTTATAACTGTTAACTTTATGAATTGATCCGCGGCGCTGATGCTCTCCAGACGCGGAGAAACTCCGCCTTTGTTCATAACCACTCCTCTAGCCCCATTTGGCCCGCTTTGGCCCAAGGTTTTCGTCGGGCTAAAAAACCCTGGCTGTTGGCCCAGAGGAAGCACCAACAAGGCACGGTCAAGCCCCAGAAGTGACAGTGGAAACGCGACTGGCCCTGGCACTGCATGCCCGCTTTTGGCCCGACAGTGGAAACGCGGCTAATCTGCGTTCACGAGAGTATCACGTCGCATGTGGTCTGGTGCTGCTGACGCAGAAGCCAGCATTCTGACGTAGAACACACATGCAGGGGTCGTGGTACTCTCGTGAACGCACATCGAAGACCAACACGGAAGAGAAAAAAAATGTTGAATAAAGTCATTATTTTTGTTTTCTTTGTGCACATAAAATTATTCTCATATTCTTTATAAAATTAAGGTTGAACCACTGATGGCACATGGACAATTTTAACAATGTCCTTACAACCTTTCTGGGCCTTGAACATGTCAGTTGCGTTGCTATCTATGCAGGGTCAGAAAGCTCTTGGATTTCATCAAAAATATCTTAATTTGTGTTCTGAAGATGAATGAATGTCTTACTAGCTTGGAACAACATGAGGGTGAGTAATTAATGACAGAATTTAAATTTTTGGGTGAAAAGCTTACCCTTTAATTGTATAAGATTCAGTCCTAATTACATCCAAGTATTTAGGCATTACAGAAATAAGATGTAGTCCCACCTCTTCAAATGCATTAATTAGCAGCAGGGGGTAAAAGGTGTTGAAGTACTCCAGGTAGCTAGGAAACTGAACTGGCACTTTCTTCAGCGGTAGCTGGCACAGATCATGTGGACTCCCAAATGCTTTGTAGTTGTCAAGCATCCTATATTCCCATTTAAGGATTGCTTGGGTCAAGATTGAAAGGTCAAACATCGGGCTTTGATCCATCGTGGGTACTGGTTTGTTAACTGGAGCCTCAGGTCTTTGGTATACCTTGTAAGATGGTGGCTCTGAGGTGGAGCTTATTTTAGAACTAGTGACCAACTCGGGAGCATATGGAGCATGTTGTGAAGGAAGTGGCTTTGGGAGTTGTGGAGGATGGAGAGGTTGAAATGTTTTTGGAGGTGGCATTGCTGGGGGCAGTCGGGGAATCTTCGCTTTCGCAACATTCGCAGCAGGAGGAGGCTTGGCTTTTTTTTCCATTTCAAGGACAAGCGAGGCACTGCGGGAGCTGGGGGTGTATATTTTTGTGGTAGAAGGTTTGGCCTTTTTCTGAGATATAGGTGACATGCCAGGCTTCACGAACAAATGATCATCATTTCCACCAATAGGAGTCTGAATAGGTTTAGGTGTCAAGCTTGGCCCTGGGGTATCTGACTCACTATCTGTATCAATGTCCATGTCAATAGGATCTCTCTGGGTAAGAAAGAGTTCTTCCTCATTTTCTTCATCAAACTGCTCCATTTGAGAGCACAGTTCCATGTCGGTGGGTTCCATCTGACTGAGGAACATCCATTCTTCATCATCCTCCTGAGTAGGTTTTTCTTTTTCCATGTTGACATCAGCAGTCTCACTGGCTTGGAAGTACTTGGATTCTATTCTTTTATTATTTCCAGCCCCATCACCTGTAGAATTGGTTCCTGATGAAGCCTTTTCATTATCCCGCTGATGGTCAGGATCTGGCTGAGGACAGGAAAAGATATCACCAGCCCCGCTGCTTGCAACTGTAGGTTTCGGTAAGTGCACTTCACCTGGCTGATTGATCTTTGCTGGTTTGGGAGCTAATGTCATGATGGCTCCTGTTGCTGGCCTCTGATGCTTCTCACGACTTTGCTTGAAAAACTGAATATCTTGTGATCCCAGAAGTTTCTTGTTGCCTTTTACTATACGTTTCTGTGGAGGGATGGAGAGGTTGAAATGTTTTTGGAGGTGGCATTGCTGGGGGCAGTCGGGGAATCTTCGCTTTCGCAACATTCGCAGCAGGAGGAGGCTTGGCTTTTTTTTCCATTTCAAGGACAAGCGAGGCACTGCGGGAGCTGGGGGTGTATATTTTTGTGGTAGAAGGTTTGGCCTTTTTCTGAGACATAGGTGACATGCCAGGCTTCACGAACAAATGATCATTTCCACCAATAGGAGTCTGAATAGGTTTAGGTGTCAAGCTTGGCCCTGGGGTATCTGACTCACTATCTGTATCAATGTCCATGTCAATAGGATCTCTCTGGGTAAGAAAGAGTTCTTCCTCATTTTCTTCATCAAACTGCTCCATTTGAGAGCACAGTTCCATGTCGGTGGGTTCCATCTGACTGAGGAACATCCATTCTTCATCATCCTCCTGAGTAGGTTTTTCTTTTTCCATGTTGACATCAGCAGTCTCACTGGCTTGGAAGTACTTGGATTCTATTCTTTTATTATTTCCAGCCCCATCACCTGTAGAACTGGTTCCTGATGAAGCCTTTTCATTATCCCGCTGATGGTCAGGATCTGGCTGAGGACAGGGAAAGATATCACCAGCCCCGCTGCTTGCAACTGTAGGTTTCGGTAAGTGCACTTCACCTGGCTGATTGATCTTTGCTGGTTTGGGAGCTAATGTCATGATGGCTCCTGTTGCTGGCCTCTGATGCTTCTCACGACTTTGCTTGAAAAACTGAATATCTTGTGATCCCAGAAGTTTCTTGTTGCCTTTTACTATACGTTTCTGTGGAGAAGTCTTAGTGGCTCGACGCACTCGCCTTGTCTTCTGTTGTGGTTCCACCTGCACTTTCTGACCATGGCACCTCAATTTAGCAACACAATCCAGGGAGCGCTGAGAAAGTTCAAAAGCTTTCCTTTCCTTCTTTTTTAATCCCAAACGCTCTGCTGTTGATTCTGGCTCAGCAACCTTACGCACCTTCTTTGGGGGAACAATCGCAGGGGTATCACTTGAACTGGGGGCAGAAAAATAATGTGAGGAAACAGAGCTGCAGGATGGAGAGGAAGATGATATACCACATGAGGATGGAGTAGTTGAAGAGGAAGGTTCCTCTACGTCCTGAGATGTGGAGCTACGTTTCAAATGGTGGCGTCTGATTTTTTGAGCAAGGGCATCAATTATCAATGGCTTTTTAGGCTGTTTCTTATCAGATGGAGTTGTTTTTGTGCTTTTAACCAGTTTTGGTTTGGCAAATTTATCCCAGCTTTCTGCAGTACTGGATGCTTTGGACAGTGATGATGCACATGAATCCACTGGCTCTTGTGGCTGCTGCTGTTCTCTGATCTTATCTTCTGCTTGCTGACAAGCCCTCTCAATGTCTTCATCTGGAATTAGTTCGGTCTCTGAACTTGATGGAGATGCTTCATGAGGAGCTTCATCCACCTGTGGTTTGAGTAGTTGGTCCGATTTGGGCTTCTTCGTCAAGTCTGACGCATCAAAATCGGAATCATCCCAGGCAGACGCCACATATTGCTGGGTCTCAAACTCAAAGACCTGTGATTCACTGAGATCATCATAATCACGACTGGGGCTCTCAGACAAGACACAAACTTCTGGAGACCTCAGGATGTCATTTGGCCTTTCATCATTATCAGAATCATCATCAGAGATAACAATGGTACTGGACTCCACATTTTCCTTTGAGGTGCCAATGGACCGGTTACAAGTTTTTCCAACAGCACTACTGTCAACTTCGGAGTCGCTAGATTCAACGTTGTGGATAGATTTTGTCAGACGAACCAGTTTGATATCAAGGGGTTCATCGTCATCCTCCTCCTCCTCCTCCTCAGCAGCTCCAAAACCACATTCCTCTTTAGCTGATTTTAAGGACTCACTAGGCTTTTGTTTGGCAATGGCTTTGATCTTTGACAAATTCTGGTTATCATTTAATCTGGATCGAATTTCCTGCACTTTTCCCAGATCTGGTTTAATGCGTTCCAACTGAACAACTGGACTCAGCTGTGAAATTGACACTGGATCAAGGGTTTCCTTCTTAGCCTTTATGATATCCTCAAGACCGCTGCACAAATCCTCATCCAAGTTCCAATTTCTATAATTCCAAACTGACTCCTCTTTGATAAAACCAGATTCATCTCCTGCTCTGCTCGGACCTGCCTCCTGGTCCTCATGTTGTTTCTGATTTAGGGTTGGCACTGAATTTCTGGAAATAACAGTGTTTGTAGCTGCCTCCACTGATGGTGCACATGGTGGTGGGAGTGGAGAAGAAGGTCTTTCTGGCATCGACCGGACAACTCTTAACAAACACTTCTGAAGCTCATTAGATTCAGAACGTGTTAGATTCCATCGTTTGTTTGTAACTCCACGCAACTGCTTGTTAAGCAAATTCAAAAAGTGGGTCGCGCTTGGGACAGATCTCCTTATCCCTTCTTTCAGCAGCAGTCGAATCAGTTTCATGCAGCCAGCAATTATGGCACCATTGCCTCCTCCAGATGCAGGCAATCTTCCAACTATCCCAAGGTTGTATGAGGTTGAACTGACTCCGTGAATCCCACCCATCCTGTCTGGTGGTCCATGTGTTTCATCTGATTGGATGATGCACAAGACAATCTCTCCCACCCACTTGTGGGCACAGCGAGAAAGTATTCCCATTCGTCCTTCAGTAGAGTGTAGCTCAACAGTCTGAATAAGGATACGAGTGAAGAACTCGGTCACTTTATCGCACACACTCATCTGTCCGGTTAGCATGTGCCGATTTTCTCGTATCTTATCACAAAGATAGTGGATGACTTCACTAATATAGGAAGCGTTGAGCTCTGGAAGTTCCATTATGGAACGGACAAATGGAATGAACCACAGAAAAGTGCTTCCGTATACACGCATGCTCTGGCCCATTTCAGAATCAAGCACGGTGACCAGGGACTGCATATCCTCATAGATCACATAGTTGCTGGAAACACCACTGCTGGATGACGAATTTATCACGTCAGCACAAGATCACCACATGTTTTCTCTTAATGGTAGCTCATCACATGAGCACACAGTTAAACACATGACTATAATAGTAGAATAACGAAGTACCTCACAGCATTTGAAAATAAGTAGTGATAGCCTTTTGATGAGTCACGTTTACGGCAGATCTATAATGAGAAGCTGTGCAATGCGTGTACTACATGGCTGCATTTTTGAATTACTGCATTTTTCCTATGCAATGTCTACAATTCAGCATGCCATCAAATCTTTTCAATAAATTCAAGATTTTCTTACCCCATGGTTTTTTGCCGGATGCTTCTAATTTCCGCAACATAGCTGGCTGCTCCGGTGATTGTCTGGAATGCTGTATTAGGGTCAACCTGACCCCAGATCTTAGAACCAAGTCGGTCCAGAATTACCATAAAACAGTGGAGGGCTGGCCAGAATGGGTCAGAAGCTGGGTTATCCTCTGAAAAACATAAGTGGACCACTTTTAATCTATTGTATCTCATCACATCATGAAAAGCTCATGACCACTACCATTTACATACCATTTTTCAACCCATCCATTGTGTTGAGTATGCAAAGCGGTATGTTAATCTGTCCCATGAACAGAGAGTCCATTGCCTCCGCACTGAGCTGCGTTAGTAACATACAGATACCTGTAGAGCACAAAAGAGATTAACTTTAAAAAGGTGACATCACACTCACCAAGGGATGAACAATGAGAACCATTTGCCAATTCCAGGTCAAACTGAGACCACTACATATTCAAGTGCTATACAGCAAGTTTCCAGATTAACATGCACCCGAATAGGGCACTGTGCAACACTTATTTTACAGTAGGTAGACACTAGAGCAATCCATCTAGCCCCCTAAATTTCTAATCCCATTCCCTTCTTTCAAAGATCCAGTTTCTATATTAACTTTCCCTGCCATTGACTGAATTTTATGGCAATCCATGTTTTTTTTTTTTCTTCTTCACTGGTAGGGGTGCTATTACGCATCAAAATAAAAATGGCAAATAAAACGTCAAACCCATTAAGAGGTATAGGACAGTGCAAACTTTGGGTTGTCAGAAAAAATGCTGGCAGGAAAAAAGTTAACTGCAGGATGGTGAGATCTTTGTCAAGAGCAGAGGAATGACTGCTGTCCAGCTAGAGTGAGAAACCAAAATATCTCAAATTGTAGAAGTAACAAAAGGAACGGGCATCATAAAGAGGATTTGGAGAAAACTAATAAACAGACCTAGCCAGTAGTTCTTCTTGTTTTGCGAGTCATAGAGGTGAGAGGGGAGCGTTTGTATGACGCCCCGTGCATAAGACTCTTGATCCAAATCTGGAAAGTTCAAAGACATTCCAAGCTCAATGACATAAAACATGCAGGAGAAAATCTCTTGAAGGTCATAGTAGGCATCCCTGTCCACACTCTTCATGGTCTTTGCTGTATCGATTGCCCAGCGGCGCACCTGGAGTGGAAAGGTGGAGTAAGAACAAGATTACCAAAAGAGGACCAGCCTAACAAGATATGGCTTTTTGACTGAGTTACCTGTTCGTTGGGATGAACGAGAAGCAGATATATTCCTTGATACTTCTCGAACACAGACAAAGACTGCTTCATATCCTGCAACTTACACAAGGCCTTTACCACCAAATCACCTGTAGAGAAAGAAAAGAATATGTAGAAAAGCACTAAAATCACACGTATGTTATTATAAGCTTTGGTTGTGATAAGTAAATTGTGGCATTCTGCCAAATATTTTTGAACGACAGCCAAAAAATATAATTAAGTGCCATCTGCATTGGATGCTTGTATCACCCTGTCAGTGTTTATTTTTAAAATAA